TAAAGAAAGATTTTTCCATATGATATTGTTTCTCTTCTGGAAAATATCTCCGACCTTATCTGAATAGATAATAATAGACTAAAATTCTCATACAATTACTTACATTAATGCTCAGATTCTACCAGTGCTGTTTCGATACTGTCTCAATAAAATTGTTGGGTTTAAATGCTTCAATTTATATTTTATTGATAGATAATAATATGGGCTATAAAAAAACAGCTGACTTCGTTCCTTTGATATTTATCTCAAAAAGATCATAAGATATATGTGACACGGTCTTGTTTTCACGCGGAAGCCGCATGGATTTACTATAGTAAATAATTGCTTACTGATAAATATTATCTTTATTGCTGAAATGAAAAAAAACAACAACTATTTACATGTGAGTCATACAGGTGAAAATAAACGAATGATGTGGCAAAATTTAGTTTTTGTGACGAATAGCTTTTTTAAATACCACTGACATTTTCACGTTGGGAGAAAAACCAGTATTTTAGAAAGTGTAATTTGATTCTTCTTATCATTGACTATATGACAAGATATTATACACGGAAATTTCCTTTAACAAAATTGATAATACATACTTTTGTGAATTTCATCAGTATATAGCTCGTATTTATTACGAAGGATTGCTGATTTTTTTATATCATACAAGCAAAATCATATTCTGCTTGACGCATATTAATCACGCAATTAATAAAATGCCACCTGTGACAGTACAGAAAAACAATTTAATATATAGTGGTTTATGAATAATATCTGATTCATTGAATTGGATTTTTTCTACCATGCGGGAATGCTGATGAAAACGTTATGACTCATAATAATACACATATTCTATTACAACGAAGAAATTTGAATGAATAACTAGTTTTTGTAATTAATATATTATCTTTAATCTGTCATAATATCTTGGAGAGAATTTCAACACTTATATATATATTTATTAGATAAAACATTGGATACAAGGATATAGAAAATCAACAATAAGTTATTTTTAGTGTTTTTTTTCCAATTTTATTAGAAATAAATATATTTTAACAAAACAAAATAGAAAAAAACTATAACATTTACTGTTAATATTGATTTATTTAATTCCTTTTTCAAATATTTCTTTTGCTTCATTAATCTTAGCAGCAATATATGGTGATCCACCTCGATCAGGATGATTAAGAATAATCAATCGTTTATATGCATCACGTAATCGTATTTTATTCGTTGTTGGACTTTAAAATAAATAGAAAAAAAGTAATTTAAATATTGTTCTTTCGTTCATACCTAACACCTAATATAAGTGCAGCTTCACGTCGATTCATTTTTGTATCTATTAATACACAAAATAAATAAATTGTATAAATATTTGTCTTTCTTACCAAATCCACCTTTATAATATTTTGACTGAAAATTATTAAAAGAAAATTTACATTAAATTAATCAAAATAAGATAAATGATTTTTTACTGAAAGTCCTTCTGCAATAACTCCAGTTGTTTTTGTTAAATTCTCAGCAATCGATTTTCCATATCGAGCAAGATAACGTCCTTAAACAAAAAATTTAATAATTGGAATTATTAATTAAAATAATCTATTACCACCAAATCCAAATGCGGCCAAACCAAGACCAACAAAAACTGTCGTACTCTAGTAAAATTCATCTTATATTTTTCATTCAATCATCAAATAAAACTCACCATATTATTTATCTAGAATAAGAAAAAGAAATTACCTTTTTTTTTATTTAATATCTATCTGACAAAATAATTTATGAGACAACAATAACAAACTTAATAATATAATAAGCAGAATAATAACAATAACACAAAAAAGCAAATTAATAATATCCACGTGGAATAACAAATGTTAGAAAATCTCCAATAGGACCTATTTTTGTACGTAATAATTGAAATGTTATATTCCATGCAATAATAATAATTAACCAAATAACTGTACCAATTGCACTTCGAATAACATCTGAAATATATATAGAATTATTAAATATAATAATGGAATCATTTTAATTTACATTTACGTATTTGTGTTTGTTCAGGATAAGGTTCAACTCTAAATGCTTGTTTATAAAACCATATGGCATTAATAAGCCATAGAAATGGTAAAAAAAGAAAACCAGCTATTAAAATAAACGACATATGAGATGAGATCTAGCAAAAATTTCATTGCTTACCTAAATAATATTTACGACATATATTTAGTCGTTGCTCAGGAGATTTTTTTGCTAATGTAACCATAGTTAGTTTTATCTGATGCAATGCTCTTGTTTGAGATATGATCGATTTCGTCAGCCAAATTTTATATAGTTTGACAGCTGTTGTCTTCTCCAAAATAAGATTGGTTGCTTGACTGTGTTATTTAAAGCGGCCTCTTCTTGTTTGTATAATCATTGGATTTAATGATCATAGTTATAAATTGATGGATTGTACTTGCTCAGATCAATCCACGACAATTATGAATATTGAATATACTACGATGAAATATATATGATAAAAAGAAAATCTTATGATTGCAATAACATAGTTTTATTTTACATAAATTCACTTTCAACACACATTTATAAACGTATTCAAGTAAAATGTTGAAAATTCATTGTGCTTTACCATAAATTTTTAAACTTTTGAATAATTCAATATGATGTGGTAGAGATAGAAATTACATTATATCTCGCTTAGTTTTGTTCTTTTTTAATTCACACTTTGCTCAGAGAAAATGATCCTAAAATGACTGATTTCCATTTTCAATATCTCATATCTCAGTATCTCAATTTGGATTTTAATAATGAGATGTGAAGTTCACATTGTGAACTTTACATGCACTTGTTTGCTCTCTTTTGTTGAAAGATTCATGATAAGAATTATATAGGGTATTTTTCTGTGACGGCGAGTACTTCTGCTATTGCTTTGATTATGATTCTAATATTGAATAAATTATTAATTTATCGAACAATGAATTTAATATTCGTTATTATTTACTCTATTTGCTGCTAATATATGTACTACATTGAGTAGATTTTATTGGTCATTCACAAAAATAACACGATCATTTAATTTGTATCCTTGTGTAATTTTAATATACAATTCCGACACAAAAGTAAACGCTGCGAGATTTTAACGTGTTCTATTTGCAAAGAAACTATGTGTTTTTTTTGTTATTGACAATACTATCCCTTATCTGTGAAGATGGTTGAAAAAAATGAATTCTTTTTTTTCCGTTCTTTGTCGACACCTGGCTCTATAACGTATATGAAAGGATATAGAGAACAACGTTCTATTATAATTATTTTACATAAACATATAAAGATAGATAACGGCGTCGTACTACTCTTTACACAAGGAGATTCCACTCTCATATAAATAATATAGCTTATTCATCTCCTTCACTATTATCTATTCAATCGAAAAATCCACATAACACACGAAATGGACACAACACCTAATAGTATCGAACATCGAAGACGTATCGTACAAAATCATTTACTCATTTGGTTAGATGAGTCTATGAACGAAACAAACAAAGATTACAAACATATTTTGACACAAATACAAACCGATACCAGCAATATCAGTGTCTTTACACGGAGAGATGAATGCGTCGATTTTCTTTCCGATAGTGAAGACATCAAGTCTTTTCTTATTGTCGAGAACACTATCGCTCAACAAATTATACCCCTCATCAATGATATTCTTCAGCTGGATGGTGTTTATATCTTCGGTAGCATTACATCGTTAGAGGAAGAATGGACCAAAAACTGGCGAAAAATCAAAAACGTTCGTACCAACGTCAAAGACCTATGTCAAGCATTACAACTGGATGTCAAGCGATACAATCAAGAATCAATTGCTATGAGTTTTGTCACCGTAAATGAAATGGCTTCAACTAATGATTTAAATCAATTGGAACCAACTTTTATGTACACTCAAATATTCAAGGATATTCTTCTTGATATGGAACATGGTGAACAGGCTATCAAACAGTTTACAGCTTATTGCAGACATAATGACAGTGGATCGGCAAAGATTATCGATGAGTTTGAAAAAACTTATAATGCTCAGTCAGCGATTTGGTGGTACAGTTACCCATCATTCTTATACTCTATGCTGAATTATGCTCTTCGCTCCATGGAAGGTGATACCATTATTAATATGGGATTTTTTATTCACGATCTTCATCAACAAATACAACATCTACATCAACAGCAAGTTAATAGCTATCATGACAAACCATTCATAGTTTATCGAGGACAAGGTCTATCCAAAGCAAATTTCGAGAAACTCAAAAAAACAGACGGTGGTTTAATATCTTTCAATAACTTTTTATTCACTAGTACCGAACAAGAGATAGCTTCTGGATTTGCTTATAGCGCGTCAGAAAATGTGGACATGGTTGGCATTTTATTTATAATGTCCATTGATCCTTGTATAAAATCAGCCCCATTTGCCTCCATCAAAGAGAAGAGTTACTTTAAGGACGAAAATGAAATTTTCTTCTCAATGCACACCGTCTTTCGAGTAGGTCCAATTAAAGCAATGAACATTAACAATCAACTTTATCAAGTTGAGCTACAATTAACATCGGACGACGATCAACAACTAAGACTGCTTACTGATCGGATACGAGAAGAAGTTGGTGGTACTGGATGGCAGAGATTGGGGGACTTATTGCTTAAAATTGGTCAATTTAATAAAGCTGAAGAATTGTATAATGTATTAATCGAACAAACATCTCATGAAGATGAAAAGCAACATTATTACAATCGGCTGGGATATGTCAAAGATGAACAAGGTGATTGTGGAAAGGCTATTTGGTATCACGAACAAGGACTTGAAATCTATCAAAAAACTCGCCCATTAAATCATCCTGTATTGGCTACGTCATACAGCAACATCGGTAGTGTGTATGACAAGATGGGAGAGTACTCGAAAGCACTTTCATATTACGAAAAAGCACTTGAAATTTGGCAAGAACTTCTTCCTTTAAATCATTCCGATGTGGCTACTTCATACAACAATATTGGTAATGTATACAACCACATGAGAGAGCTCTCATCAGCAATTTTGTTTTACGAAAAAACACATGAAATTTTTCAAAAAATTCTTCCTTCAAATCATCCTTCGTTGGCTGCTTCATATAACAACATCGGTACTGCATATAACACGATGGGACAGTACTCGAAAGCACTTTCATTTTACGAAAAATCACTCGAAATTTATCAAAAAACTCTTCCCTCAAATCATCCTCATTTGGCTACTTTATACAGCAACATTAGTAATGTGTATGGAAACATGGGAGAGTACTCAAAAGCACTTTCATTTTCCGAAAAAGACCTTGAAATTTGTGAAAAAACTCTCCCTTCAAATCATCCTCATTTGGCTACTTTATACAACAATATCGGTAATGTGTATAACCACATGGGAAAGTACCCGAAAGCACTTTCAGTTTACGAAAAAGGGCTTGAAATTCGACAAAAAACCCTTCCTTCGAATCATCCTAAGTTGGCTGCTTCATACAATAACATGGGTACTGCATATGACAACATGGGAGAGTACTCGAAAGCACTTTCATTTTACGAAAAAGACCTTGAAATTTGTGAAAAAACTCTTCCTTCAAATCATCCTAATTTGGCTACTTCATACTGCTGCATCGGTAATGTGTATGATAGCATGGGAGAGTACTCGAAAGCACTTTCATCTCACGAAAAAGCACTCAACATTCGACAAAAAGTTCTTCCTTCAGATCATCCTGATTTGGCTGCTTCATACAACAACATCGGTTGTGTGTATGATAGCATAGGAGAGTATTCGAAAGCGCTTTCATACCACGAAAAAGCACTCAATGTTCGACAAAACAGTTTTCCTTCTAATCATCCTGATTTGGCTAATTCATACAACAACATCGCTTTCGTGTATGACAAGATGGGAGAATACGAGAAAGCACTTTCATTTGACGCAAAAGCACTTGAAATTCGACAAAAAGCTCTTCCTTCAAATCATCCTTCGTTGGCTGCTTCATACAACAACATCGGTTGTGTGTATGATAGCATGGGACAGTACTCGAAAGCGCTTTTATCTCACGAAAAAGCACTGAACATTCGACAAAACACTCTTCCTTCAAATCATCTTGATCTGGCTACTTCATACAACAACATCGCTTTCGTGTATGACAAGATGGGAGAATATCAGAAAGCACTTTCATATTACGAAAAAGCACTTGAAATCGGTCAAAAAACTCTTCCTTCAAATCATCCTCATTTGGCTACGTTATACAGCAATATCGGTAATGTGTTTAACCACATGGGAGAGTACTTGAAAGCACTTTCATATTACGAAAAAGCGGTTGAAGTTCGACAAAAAACCCTTCCTTCAGATCATCCTCATTTGGTTACTTTATACAACAATATCGGTAATGTGTTTAACCACATGGGAGAGTACTCGAAAGCACTTTTATTTTACGAAAAAGATCTTGAAATTCAAAGAAAAACTCTTCCTTCTAATCATCCTGATTTGGGTACTTTACACAACAACATCGGTAATCTGTATGGCAAGACAGGAGAGTACCGAAAAGCACTTTCATTCTTCGAGGAATTACTCAAAATTCGACAAAAGGCTCTTCCTTCAGATCATCCTGATCTGGCTATTTCATACAACGACATCGGTTTGATGTATGCCAAGATGGGTGAGTACTCGAAAGCACTTTCATATCACGAAAAAGCACTTGAAATTCAACGAAAAACCCTTCCTCCAAATCATCTTGATCTAGCTACTTCATACAACAACATCGGTTGGGTTTATAGAAGTATGAAAGACTACTCCAAATCACTTTCATATTATGAACGTGCTCTGAATATACGGCAATGTGCACTACCTTCAGCTCATTCTCATATTAAAAATGTGAAAAACAGTATTGAAATTGTAAAAACGAAATTATAAACAATAGTTGTTAAATAAATATTGGAATATTTTTTTCAGTTATTTTTGAATTAATTCTAGTTTGTAGTGACTCGCGCGCGTGTACAGAGAACAACTCTTTAAATAATAAAAACGTAATGAATAAAGTTGGCTGATAAGGTAATATACATACATACATATGTATGCGTATAAATGACCTTCTCAGACATATTAACATTTCTGATTCTTGACGAGAATGTTCCCTATAATAAAAGAACAATAACTTATCGTAAGTTGCATATATTCTCTATTATAAATGCTATTTATTGTGACTAATAAGAAGAATAAACAGCAATTGCCAACTAAAATCAGACAAAGAATTTTATACATAGAATATTAGAAATAAAAATCCTCGAACATATCATCCTTTTTTATTCTTCTTGTTTGAACAATTTCAATTGACAGATACAATAAATTGATCTAAAAATATAATATTATATATAAGCTAGATCTGATGAAACATCTAAAGTTCAAATAGTTAAACAATTTTGAATTAAACTAAACTACATATGGTTTGATTTTTCTTGAAAATTGTTATCTCTATTATTGATTTTCTTTTGTCGTTTTCAATCATTTCATTCTATACAAATAGATCGATTTTATTTCGATTATATAAAATTATAAGTACGATGAATACATGTATAAGGAAAATAGTTTTTGATATGATATTCATCAATTTGATCCATTGGACTAAACAATAGAGCAGCAATTTTTGTACGTTTAATTTCTGTCATATATCTTGTAAAGCACCGTGTCACCCTTTCTAGTGATTTATAATGAACACGAAGATGAAGATTATTTGGTAAAGACATGTTCATATTAAATAAAAATAATTCAACATAATCGTCATGAACATAAGAAAGATCCAGTCGAATAAGATTGGAATATTCAATAATTGATAATATTTGATTATCATTATTTGATTTGATTTGTTGTGCTTTTCGATTCACTATTGTTAATTGTTTCATAAATGGAAATGATCTCGAAATTCGAAGAAAAAATTCATGTTCAAATGGATATTCATCAAATAATAATATTTGGGTAACACTATTAAATAACCCATCCGGAAAATTATTTGTTATATGATGGTAAATTTTCCAATGATATGGATGTGAATAAATATGACATTGACTATCACTTTCCCAATGATCAATACAAGTAGTTATTTGATTATTAGAAAAAGATTTAAATGTTTTTTCAATAGATTCATTTAATGGGAAATTAGTTTGATAATGATAGGTAATGGTTGAGTAAATATTAAATGTGAATTTATATAATTGTGGCATATGAACCATAATATCTTTCTTCAATATATCACCATCAATAAATTTTTCACAATGCTGAACTATAATATTTAAATCAAGTTCTTCTAAATTTATCATTCGACGTAGAAGTGGTACAATTGATTCATTAAAAGCACCTAATGATATCTCATTATTGCAACACAAAGAAAAAATTCGCAAATTTGGTAATAATTTTTCCTGAAAATGAAAACAAATGTGAGCTCATTTAAAGAAATAAAATATGACTAAAATAACTTACATTTTGTTCTTTGTTGAAAGTTGAAGTATCAATATGACAAATGTTAATATAAAGTATACGAAGTTGATCAAAACGTTCATCAAGTATCTCAAGACAGTCCATCATATTACACACATCAACATGTAGTTCTAATAAAGTTGACGAGATAGCAGTTTCAGGTAAAATAATGCTAATAAATACACCGTCACGAAAAGATGAAGATGAATTGAATTCTAAGCATCGTAAATTAGTAAATATTGTCCAAATTTTCGTAAATATAGATGCATAGATAATGCTTTTTGAATATGGATCGTTTTCTTTATTAAGAAAATTGATAAAGAGTGATGAAATTTGATTGTTGAATACATGAATTAGAGGATTTGTATCTAAATAAAATTTTAAAATAAATAATAAAAATATTGTTTTTTTGAATTCTCTTATAGATTACATTATATATGATGAATACTGTTTTCTATCTCACTCATTTAGCTTATTGATTCTCTTCTATATTGTCTCTATTAATCTTTTTAATTATATGTTCAAAAATAAAATATTTTATTTTCGAATAACTAATTAGAATTCTACAATGAAATCAATTAAAGAAAGTCTCTTACCAGAAAAGAAAGACCTAGCTAGTTTGTCGTCAATATCACATAAACCAAGATTATTTAAATTAGGATAATTTGTAGCATGAAGAGCACGTTCTATCGACGTTCCTTCAAGATAGAGAGTTTCAATTTGATGTCCAATTGTAGGTAAAATTGTTGAACAAAATCGATCAAGTATTGGATCTGATAATGGAAGGGAAGAATCATCGATTCGACAATATTCTAGTAAACGTAAATGACGAGTAAATATTCTATCATGTGCAATTCTATTGATTCGTTGATTGACACCCATTAAGGAATAAAGTACTTCATAATTGTACAATTTTTTAAATATAAACGTAAGAATTTCATCCGGTAAATCATCTAACTGAATCAATAAATCAGTCATATTTAATTGTTTATACAATATTTAATCTTCTAATACTACACATATATACGTTGGATTCATTGATTTTAATTGACCGATACCGTCGTCAATGAAAACAATGATATTCTTTTCTATAGACAAGAACAAAGACACTCTTAATTATTATTGAATAGCCTTTAAGACAATGTATTATAGAAAATACAACATATTTATAAGATCTTATGAAACTTATCATTAAGTGATTCTAATAATCATTGTTTCGGCTACTGTTGTTTATAGTAAAGTTTGATCTTATACGAAAGAATTTGTTAATAATAAATGAACTGATATTGTCAAGAACGTGTTCTAGAGTCGATTAGAATTAGAACTGGAAAATTTTTCATCTTCTTTTATGCTATTGTTTATTATGAATTTATTTATTCGTTTTGAATGTCTTCGTAGGAAATGTAATTCTCGAATCTTTTTTTACTTCTATATTTGATTGTATATATTATTTGACATATATTAATAATAAATTCTATATCATCAATAATATAAATATTAAATACATAATAGTATTTACACAAAAGTTTTTTTATAGACTGAAAATATTTTATCTAAAAATAAGGAAAGAAATTTTCATCGATATCTTGAGGATGTGAGTGAGGGTTTGAATATTTACTCTTTCTATTCATACACATACTCACACCCTCTTTCTTTGATCAATAATGAGAAGAATACAAAAGATAATCTTGTATTATTAGATCAGATCATTAAATTTAATATTAAAAATGAAGTTAAGTTTTAGAAACGCATTATTACAATATGAACAACAAAAACACTCAAAGCCAAATTTCATAGTAAGAAAAGTGGACTTTCAGTCTTTTATATTAAAGGTTAAGACTAATAAATTAAATTTAATAGAATTGTGGTAATAAGAGTATCATTGTCTTATCATTCTCATAAATCCTTGTCGGCAAGTGATAATCGATTGTTTAAATTGTCTCTTGTAGAAGTCCGATGGTAGAACAAATATTACAAAGATGAGAGATGATGGAATGAATGAAACAAAATAACCGCAGAGATACAACCAAGGATGTCGAGATGCTTTAACACATGTTGATAATAATGATATAAGAAAACGAGGTAAAAGTAAAACAGTTAATACAATAGAACTAATGATAAGTTGTTTGTGCTCATTGATTTGATTAAGTAATTGTTGTCTACAATTAAATTTATTGTAAAAGGAACCACAAAATGGAAATATTGAACAATTGTAGTATATCTTTCAATTGATTGAGAATAAAGAAGTACACACCAAACACGTTGTTCCTCATGATCATCAAATAAATCACGATAGATGACTTATTAACTCATTGAACTCAAAATTATAAATGGTAAAAGGCAATTTATCCATCGTGCAATACATTTACTTCTTTTCTTATTAAAATTAATTCCTTGTAAGACTGACATTGTTCTTTCTATGGCCGCACAGGTATTAAGGATAGATTTCCATGTAGTTAATTCGACATTCAAGTCAAGGTCTGTTTGATTTGCGTATCGACAAGCGAAATTTTTATGACGAAATGTAGGTGTGAGAAAATCACATAATTGTTCATCGTAACAAACATAATCAGGTCTAAGAGCTAATGTTATATTAATATTGTCAATTTCTTTTGGATCATATAAAAATTGTACATGACCAAACAGTACAGGAATAACTGGAAATTCAAGAAGAAAGGCACAATTTTTAAATTCTTCAATGATTTCAGAAGATTGCATAAATTGATTACATGTTATATCTTCGATTTTATTCATAATTTTACGAAGGCAAACCATAACTATCCAACATGAATGAGATAAATTTCCTTGAATACTAATTGATTGAGTCAATGCTAAATGTCGATTACTTTAACATTGACCAAAATCTTCTACACATTGTCCATTACCACACGTAATCGAATAAATGTGGTCGATAATTAAATCTCAAAAGACGATTGGCCTTAATAGTTCCATCCGATCTATCAAAGCATTGTGCTTCCGCAAATTCTATTTCCACAAAGATTTTTGTAATACATAATCCATTATGGCATCGATACTCATTTTCATTAGATTCGTTTATTTCTAATGAATATTGACATCGAGATCCAAACCATGGAGGTGTATACTTAAAAAAAATTTCATTCGATAAATTAGATTGAAATGGTCGATCGAGATAATATTGATATTGTTCAGCAACATTAATCGATGACGACCATAGTAGAATTTTATATGAGGTAACATTCAGATGATATAATTCATTGAAAGTAAAATATTCATCAGATATATTAAAAAAATGAATTACTGTCGTTCAATTCTTATCGTTAGTTGGACGAATACAATATTTAACTATTCCAGAAAAGGAGGATTCAGATGAAAAATAATGCAAACAATCAGATCCAAATGGATCCTTACCATAGAAAAGTGATTGTAAACCATTAAATATCCATAGAAAAAAAACATAATATAAAAAAATCTCAACATTACTCAGATGTAGCTTTGCACACAAATGACAATATAATGTATAGACAGATTTAACATAACTTTTACAGTAAATATTTAACATTATTTAGTTATATTAATAGTGTTCACTATTATACGTGTAATTCTTTGAGACGTGATATATCAAAACGCGACAGTGTAATGTGATACTCCTTTTTTTTATATATGTATCTAGATATGGCACATTCATTTGATAGAAAAATGTAGACATTGTCAAGTATATTCTTTTATTTGATAGAAAATGAATACCATGCACGAAATACCTTGATTACAAAAAAAAGTACAAAAGCAATTATCAAGAATGCCATGATTGTAGATACCATCATTTACAATGTGAAACGTCGTCCGAACAATGGGTATCGGCTACATAACCATGATTTCCATTGGATAATTTGATTCTTACCCGACACTATCTCGATTTCAAAGCAATCACATGGATAGTGTTCGCTGGTGATTGCATTGCCAGATACAGGGCAGGTCATCAATGCACACGAATGAATAGGAACTCGTTGAGTACATAGAATGTCACCCGCCTAATTATATAAAACAAAAAATATTCCAAATATTAAATAAATCGATTTAAACAAAAATTTATTTAGCATAATGTCAAAACAATACCTAAGACGATGAAAAGACGAATAATAGCCGAATAAATTTTTGTTTGTAATTAAATCATTTCAGCAGTCAAGACAACCTTTATATATATGGATGAATACAAAAGTCGTATAATTTATTACGAAGCTTGTGATAAGTGCAAATGATAAGTAACTGATAAGGGGATCGAGGTCACTTTCTTAGGAGAGAGTGAAGTATTTGATTTTCATATTGCATTTATTTTTTTTTTATTGAGATAAAATTCCATTGTCTGAATCCCTTTTTTTTCTTTTGCTCCCTTTCTCCTTTTCTTTTTCTTCTCTTCCCCTTTTCTTTTCTTTTTTTTCTTTCTTTTTTTTCTTTCTTTTTTTTCTTTTTTTTCTTTTTTCAATACAATATTTGAGTATTTCAGAAAATCCTGACTCGGATGAAAAATAATGTGAACAATCAAATCCAAATTTTAGAAACCAGGAGTTCTTCGTTAAAAAATAGATGTTGGTCAGGAGACTTTTCTTATAAAATCAGAAAACTTTCTATGCAAACTAGAAGGAAAATAACGACTGTGTCACGTACCTTTTTTTCGAAAAAGTAAAGCTTTTCAGCCTCGAATATTTATATTTTTAGTTTTTAATCAACGAGCAATAAAAAGATCTGTCTGAGTGAACGAAACAAAGAAAAACAAAAAGATAATTATACGTAGTTCATTTTACTGGTCTTTTCAAAGCTGTTTATTGAAAAATATAAACAAAACAGATACAAATGGTCTTTTTCAGAAACCGCCAAAGAATTAAAACAAAACAGAGTAAACTGTTTCCTACATTTTCTTGATTTTGTTGTTTCACGGTTGTATTTTTCTTCTGAATGAACTGGTTTAAACAGTTCTTTACTATTTCAGAGATTTTTTTATTTTAATTTTGAACTCGACATCCATTAGGATCTTTTTTCATTCTATTCCTAGTATTATATCATCAAAAATTTGTATAACTAAAATTTGACTACTAATTAGTTCTTTAAACTTATTATTTATTGATCAATATCAACAGTGGAACTGGATCAGTTGTAAAAAAATCGAGCGACCCACAGAGACTGAAATATTACGAGTTGAAATTTTTCAAAAGTCTTTGATGTCGATCTTGTTTCTGGTCATACAAACTACGATAGTATATAAATTTCAGGTAGAGTTGGGAAAAAAGGGGACAAAACACAAGTTATTTAATTATTTGTTGTGAGGTTCACTTTAAGAAGATAGTTTTTGTTGGATGTCTCATAAATGCTCTCCGAAACTAGACCCTCGCACAAAAGTCTTTCCTTTCTTCGTTTCTTTGTTCTCATACTTTGAATAGAATTTATTGCCGAGTAGAGATATGACTTGGAGAGTTTTCTTTCTGTATGGTATACAGATCATAGTACAATAGAACTGTCAAGTCATATCTCTACTCGGCAATAAAGTTTATAAAAAGTATGAGAACAAAAAAACGAAGAGAGGAAAGACTTTTGTCCATGGGTGTATCTCATATTTGAGTGTGAATGGAAAGAGTAAACACCCACACCCACGCTCAAGATCAGAGATCTGTTTAACTCTCATCATCAAAACTAAGATATTATCCATTCATGTGTAGGATATGTGAGATGTGTCAACATAAATCTAACACATAGCTTACAGCGAGAACAATATAGTATTATTTCGATGCTCCATGTTATAATTTGCATATAATTTATTCCATATTTTTTTATGCTTTGTTTTGATTTTGCTATTGAACATCATATTCATATTACAAGTCATCGAGTTTCTCCTCTCACTACCCAACAAAGACAAAAGCAATTTGTCATATTCATTTGTTTTCTTGGTCTTCTTCATGATGTTATTGCAAGTAGATATATCATCTTTTTTTATTATTTACCTGAACAGCTTCATAATTGTATACTATCAACAATTCTTTTGTTTATAAACTGACATATTTGATCATATTTCGATGAAATTTAAACGTACGAAGAGTTATCACTTTGCTAACATTATTTTAGAAAGAACTCATATTTTATTTTCTTGAATTTTGTATAAAATATAGAAAAAGTATACAGTAATATTGAAAAAATATCTTAATAGACTAGGTCATTATTTGTAATAATAAAACAAATTAGATTTATTTTGAGAAAAACAAACAGATTTGATTGTGTTCCTGCATACTAAGAAAAAATAGACAAGTTCTTCGTAACCCTTCCGGAAATTGTAAGGCGTTTGTGCATATGGCACCTGCACGACACTTGCAAGAGATAGTTATAGTGACTACACCCACATCCACCCATCCTGTTATCCAAATATTCCGTTTTATCCATTTTAATTAATCCAATAATAGAAAAATAGAACATCGTTTTTCTATTCATATTGACACATTTAATTTATCCCATAATATATAAATAGTACAGAAAAACAAATCACTTTGCGTGTGAGAATCATGCACGCGAATGTAGTGCCTTGCTTTCGGGACCAGAAACACTTATAAGCGTTCAAAACGTTGTCTTCAAAAATAGACAAGAATAAATGTGTTCAAAGTGACAGATTCGTTGGTATGCATAAAATCATAGTCAATGTGACAAGCTTTTTCTAATAAATTGTTTTCCTTAAACGATATGAATACACAGGAACAGAGAAATCAGCAGACTCTCTAAACATTCTTGTCTTATAAGTTTTCAAAAACAAAATCCCTCTAGAACAAGGTAAATAGCTTCTTTTCCATTAAAATAAAAACCACTGGCATTATTCTTTTTTTGTTTTATTCTGACGACACAAGGTTAGAATACCTATTAAAATGCAATAATTCATGGTCATATTGTAGAATGACGTACTCAGAATAATTATAACATGAAAGTTCCTTTTTCAATAGTTATTGTCATGACTTAGATTGTATACCGATTTGTAGAAATCAAAATATAAGCGATTAGAGGAAAAAATAAATACACTATAACTCGGAATGATTGTTTCATCATAGATTAAGATTATGTCATTCACATTTTGAAGATGTGGATATTTAGTAGAATTATGTACTATAATAAATATTTGTTTTCCTTATACTTGATATAATGAATAGTTTGATGTCACAAAAACCTTTTGTATCTGCATTATTTATCATTATTAGCCTACTTCACTGAGTGAATAGTTTTAACATTTTACTTCCTTAATTTTCATAATTCATCTACGTTATTTATCTATATTATTAAGCCTTTCAGCTTTTTTAATATTTGTCTATTTTAATAATCTAACAGAATGACGTATCTCTCTCTCTCTCTTTTGTTTTTCTAAGAACTCTAATTGATGTATATGAAGTATTATAGAAAAGAAATTTAAAGAAATCAAGACAAAAAGAAACTTCTTCAATCTATCATGCGTTTAAATGAGCAAATGCGTTTGACTCGGCAGATGTTTCACCACATATTTGAATAAATTCCGAAAGAAAACGCGTTCACATGCATCGGATATTTCATTTTGATCGCGTCTAAACGCACTTCCTTCCGGGGCATTAAATACGTTTAGAGTTAAAAGATTTTTACATTTTCTCAAGATTTTACATATGAATTTCAACAAGGTATGAAAATGTGATGGCAAAATAAGATACTCTTAGTGGAATCAACTATTTGTTTTTTAAACAATATTATAATATTTCT